ATTTCATTTTTTACATTAAAGAGCTCTATAAATTAGGTAATGCCAACCTTCTGTTTTTTACACGGATCTTATCTAATTAAAAAATAAAAAGAAAGATAAATATAACATAACTAGCTGTTCCCCGCGACTTCGCCCGCTTGGAATTTACTATGATTTCATGAGTTTTAATTTTTTTTGCGCGCAACCCTAAATCTTTTTCTAAAAAAAAAGTATCCTAACTTACTCCTTATAACATCAGCTATCTGCCATTGAAAGTCCCGTCAAAATCGGTCCAGCCGTTTCGGAGATTAGCCGGAACAAACAGACAGACAAAAATTTTAAAAATTATTTTTTGTTAGTAGTACCGTATATTCTTTCATATGCATTTAGTAAAAAGCAGTTATTTTAACATTCAAACAGAGACTTCAATTTTATTTATTTGTATAGTTATATAGTGTAATATATACTATAACATAATAAACAAATATTGAGGGAAAACTAATGGCGGTCTTATTGCTACATAGCAATCTCTTCCAAATACAAATGAGATGGCCAAAGTCGAGCAGCGGATTTTTGCGTGCAGAAGAATAATAAAAGAAAATGAAAATTCTACAATGGGTTTGAGTTTAAATTTTAAATAACAAAATCAACATATTGTTTGAATTTGCTAAAATGATCGCTAGCGTGTTTGTATAATGATACATTAGTGAACGTATTATATTTAACGTATTATTAAAAGTATTGCCAAATTATTATTAGACTCGAGACAAGAACAACACAAACTATTCCATTCAAATGTTTTTGCGCCAGGTTACAGAGCTACGAGTATAACACAATGCGTTAGGTCAAAATAAATTTATTATAATGGGTCTGGCCACCCAATTTTATTAAGGGTATCAAAAAATTGTATAAAAAATTACGAATTCAACGGTATTCTTATTTTTTTTCTACGTTTAAAAATGACTGAAATATTGATGAGTAAAATGGTGTTTTACGGTAAGGGCGACCGCTTTGCTCCGCATCGCGATGTGACGTCACAAAACGACACGTCGATGCCACCAGTAGTCTTTATTGTTATATTTTTCTTATTCTCTCCATATTTATTACTCCATATTTTTCTTGTCATGTTATTTATTTATCAGTAACCTTTATTTTCTGTTTTTTTTTTTAATTTATGTTATATCACGCTCCTTGGTAATAAAATGGTTACCTATAAGATACAGGTTTTACCTAGTTTAGGCACCAGTTTTGTACCTAACAATAGTATTGTATCAGATGTAAGCACATATTTTTTGTTTTCTGAATTAATATTGTTGGTGAAAATAAATAAATAAATAAAATAAAATAAAAATAAATTTAATTTTACAAAAAAAAATCATATAAAAGCTAAATGTTCAATACTTTAGTTTATACATCAAATCAAATAGTTTATTTGTGATTCACAGTTTACATAAAGGTCTTAAACACAAATAAAGTTCAGTCTGTGATCAGCCTCATGGGCATGATCATCATCATCATTACAGCCCTTCATAAGTCCACTGCTGAACATAGGCCTCCCCAAGGAATGCCACAAAGTACGGTCCTGAGCCACCTGCATCCATCGACTTCCTGCATGTTTTACCAGGTCGTCACTCCATCTAGTGGGGGGTCGCCCTACACTTCGCCTACCGGTACAGGGCTGCCACTCGAGAACGTTTCTTCCCCGTCGGTTGTCGGTTCTTCGAGCAATATGGCCGGCCCACTGCCACTTAAGCTTACTAATCCGTTGGGCTATGTCAGTTACTCTGGTTCTACTGCGGATATCCTTATTTCTAAGTTCATCACACAGAGAAACCCCGAGCATAGCCCTCTCCATAACTCGCTGAGCGACCTTGAGCTTCCTCATGCGGCCAACAGTGAAGGACCACGTCTCAGATCCGTAAGTCATCACTGGCAACACGCACTGGTTGTACAATTTCGTTTTCAGGTTTTGAGGTATGTCTAACAAGAAGATGTGTGTCGTAGTTTACCGAACGCTGCCCAGCCGAGTTGAATCCTCATGGGCATACAAATGTCAAATATTATTAATAGTTCATTGATTACATTATTCATAATAATAGATTAGATTATTAGATTAAATTATTCATCATAAATAATATTAATTACATTGGATTAGATTATTCATAAATTATTATTAGTTCAAAATTATTATATAGTCGTTGGGTTTATTATAAGTATTATGTCATCTAATACAGTCAACCGGACCTTAACTCTGACATTCGATATAATATGTAGGTATACTTCCGAGCGCGCGGTTAGTACTGAACTTAGCAAGTTCCTACTGCACGTTCGCTCTCTCGGATTGTGACGTCACGTCACAGAGAACAAGCGGGTAAAAATTAAAAAATATTGTGAAACTTCAAAACGTTATAACTTTTGTATTTCTGCACCATTTTGGATGAAACAAAAGCTATTGTTATTTTCATAAACATAGCTTTAAAGCTATATAGGTTTTATTGTCCAATTAGAACATGTTGGTGTGACCCATTACGAGTACGTCACCTTCTATACAAATCTTAATGATTTTTATGTTCATATGAATATTAAGTTTGTTCGTATGAAAACAAATGTTACATTATGAGTCTCAATATTTCCAACCGACTTCAAATGGGAGGAGGTTCTCAATTCGGGTGTATGTATTTTTTGGTATGTATGTTACGCGATATCTTCGCAGATTGTGATTCAATTTTGATGATTATTTTTTATTAAATAGGTTATAAGTTTTATTAAATAGGTTCAAGGGTGGTCCCATATAAATTTGGAAAAGAATTCCACCCCTTGGGGTAGCAAATTAACAACTTCTTTTTTAGCAATTTGTCAGTTTCTACTTTAAAGTCAGTTTTTACTTTTTGTTAAAAGTTATAATTATTAAATTCAGTAACATATTTTATGTCACTTCAACCACAGAATAAATAATTACTTCAACATCCACATCCCATAAAATAGTCCATGCAGGACACGGACTTTTTGCATAGTGGATTGGATGTACGGATCGCGCGTCTGGGTATTTTGCGTTTGGCATTATATTGTAGTAACTCGTTGCTCGCGAACTGTGAAATTACGACAACAATTCGGGTTTTATCCCCGTCGGCACCAATAAAAAAATATTTTGTGATTTTTAAGTACCATGTGCTCGGTGATAAAGGAAAATATCGCAAGGAATATGAGGAATAAAGTATTTCGAGGACATGAGAATCTGCTAACACGCACTGAACGGACGAATTGCTCCATAATTCTCTTCGAAATTAAAAAAAGCCTGTGCCCAGCAGCGGGTCGTACATAGGCTGTGATTTACTTTTATAAAATTACAGCCTATAAACGTTCCACTCGTGGACATAGGCCTCCTCTCATATCTCGGAGGGTTTTAGGGCAAGAAAGTGTCCACGGCGCTGCCCCAATGCGTGTTGGCGGACTACACGTCTCCGAAATATATTTTAATCGTTTATACGAGGTTTTCTTTTAAATACGAAATTATCTTACAGTGTCGTCCGCAAAATACAATAATAATTTAAAATTAAAAATGTTGTACAACCGACTTCAATATAAATTATTTAGAATAACTCAAAAACTATTAGTCAGACCTTGATCAATGATATGGGACCACATGTGAAGCACCAGCTTTCAAATAAAAAAATATAATCGAAATCGGTTCACCCAGTAAAAAGTTATAATGTACCACACATAAAAAAAACATAGAGTCTAATTGAGTTCCGTCTCCTTTTTGAAGTCGGTAGAAAAACCGCTAGGTGGCACGTGTTTATTTCAACATTAAATTGTCTATGGTCATCACGCTATGTAGTCAGGTTGGTGAGCACAGACACAGAGCACAAATTACGCATTACAATGGTATTTTAGTTTGCTTATTACGTACGCTCGTCATTAGTCGTATCCCAACAACGAAGATCGTTATGTTAAAGCCATGATAAAAAAATGGTAATGTTTTTTGCGCGATTCAAATGTATGGGAACGATAAAAAACCTTAAGAATCATGAAGTTTTTATCCCATGTAAGTTTCTTAGATGAAATATCTGTGGGAGTTATGCGCTATGTGGTTGAAGATTATATTGCGTGCAAATATCATTAAGGCCAGGTTGGACAAAAGTATCGTATTTTAGACACAGTTTTGACGCCCGAAACATATATGAATTACTCACCTGAATTATTTATCAAACGGGTTTTTAAAATACTTTATATTAATCGAGAGAGAAAAAAAAATTAATCACCGTAATTCGAATTCTCATATTTTAAGCGATAACCGTACAATATTTTGCGGTAATATGAAAGGCATGGTATTGAAATAGATTCTTAATCGGCTACATTTTTATTTAGATCCTTTATTTCCTAATAATAAATAACAAATAATAAGCAAAAACGTTTAAAATAAAGTAACATTTTGTCCACCAAATATCGCACGCGCGAGAAGACGGCGCTGACGTTGCCTTTTAACGTTGAAATTCCTCGCCTTAACTATTAAGTCGAATATCTTCTTTTATATGATTTTCATATGTAATACCTTCTTTTATATGATTTAAATGTCTAATATCTTCTTTTATATGATTTAAATGTCTAATATCTTCTTTTTATCTCACATAAGAACAAGTACATATCGGTAACTTAATTTGTTTGGTTGTTACTGCAGTTCGCTAACATTTTTTAAGCTAACATTTTGTTCAGTAGGAATTATTTATAGGTCTCTTTCTCGCGCTGACTGACGATACATTGCGCAATGTTACAGATTAAATAAATAGTTACTACGTAAATGCTACTCTATATCACCAGTCTGTGAAATTTTGTTTTAGTTTTATACAATATTTCCGTCATGTCACTAACACATCAGTCCGAATCAAGGGTACACCGCGAACAGATGAGGTTCAGGTACCATAAAAGATACTAGTCCTTATAAAGATCAAATCGAAATAACTATTAGAGTGTGATCAAACTAAGAAATCATAGCGAGTTTTATTTAAAACTATAGTGCTTACCTGGGGTCTGTGTAGTGGTGCTCGTGGATGTGGTGCTCGATGTGGTACTAGAGGACGGTGTCACGCTTACTGGGGCAGGCGTACTTACAGGTTTCTGAAAGCAAAAGAAATATAATTTAACTATCGGCTATAAACTATTATTAGTGGGCTATCATTTCAATAGTTTTTTTGGAAGTCCGCAGAAATAACAAAGTACCTATACAAACTTAATTTTTAGGATTGTATAGCGTTTATTTTAACTTATTGTTAATGTCTATCCAACGTTTCGACGTTTTTACGTTTAAAAATGACTTATTCAATATATAGTATTCACATAAACATCAATATAAATAATCATTACGGCAAAATATCGCATTTAGCAGTAGTGGAACCGATTAAGTGCGTCAAGTTGATGTCAAACGTCAGGCTATAATCCTATTAGTATAGCTATAAATGGACATGAATATCTAAGATCGGTTTATAAATTAATTTTTAAAAGGTTATCTTTAATGAGCCAAATCTTATAGAAATTTTCGTAAAGGATATATTCAGAAATAAAGAATTTCACCAAGAAACCTAAATATGATACAAACTTCCGTTCAACTATAATAACGTAAGTAAAAGGATGTATAGTGTCATATTATATGATACGTACAACGCCTATAGTAAAAGTATAATTGAATAAGTAGCCTTACATTCATTTCCTCTATCCTTGTTAGTAACGCGTTTACTTTGTCGACAAGCGTGACATTTAGCGCAGCGATCTGCTCCTTTAGTTTGTCCTCCATCTTTGCGTTGCTAGTTACATTCGCTACGGTCTCGTTGGTCCTCTGTTCCAGTTGATGGAGCAAAGTCTTGACTTCCTCCACTCCTGACGTGGCCGTGACCGCTTGCTTGCGGGCAGAGGCCAATGCGCCGTCAAAACTATTTATCTGTAACAATCTTGTATTTGTACAACTTGAACATCAAACAAACATCGAATATATGTCCGGCTTATTTTTGGCCTCTATATAAAAAAAAATTGCATTTTTTAAAAGTTAAAGTATATTGTAAACATCATAAACATGCTAAACAATACATTAACCCATGTCGATTTAATTAACGTGATATCTAATGCCTATTGCGTAATGAGTTATAAGTGAACAAGTACGACGACGTATTCGTCTGTATTTATTACTTGTACGAAGATTTTTTAAACATGGATAACGTACGTTTCGTTGCTACGACATTGTGTCTACTTAACTTGTATAGACTCACTAATATTTTAAATAGACAAAAATGAAAAGAAGGCAGTAGTAAAAGTAGTATTAAGTATAATATATAAAAGTATAATTCCAACTCAACCGAGTATATACTTATATTTTTTTATATATTTTGTCAAAGAGAGGTATTAGAGAAAATTATAACGTGGTGAAAATGCGAATACGAGGGCCGAGTAGCGAGCACACCCGAACAAGTCGTTTATATATTCGTACTCGTATTCGTGCCTATTCTTCTGTGTTCAGCGAGTATCTAAACGTTCTATAATAACTTCCAAATATTCCTTCCGACGAGATATTACCATCTGACTGAAGCCTAAAGATTTTTCCAGAATTTCCTACTATCACATATTACAACATCCCCGGAACAAAATCGGGAGATGAATTCTCTGCACACGCAAATTCTAAAAGACATGATCATGGTTACAAAATATATTATAGTGCAATGCATGTATAACTCAAAAACACTAACCGATAATGCGATAAGATTCGAGGTGAGCTCGTGATTTATGTGCAATAGACTGTCCTGTTCGACTATCATATTGTGCATAGAGAAACGATTTCCTCATATTCAAGGAAATTGCACCTTGGCCCAAACCACCGCTTAAATATAAATTAGTGGATTCAGCCACTCACATACACATACCTAAGATACCGCAGGTACCATATAATTTCGAGAAATATTACCAGAAAGATATCGCGGCCGCCTGCAGGAAGCAGCGCTCAAATGCAAAACTTTATTTGTACACATAAGAGTGACAAACGAGCACAGTCCAACTGCTAATAATTGGATGCTGTGACCCATAGAGACATGCATCTACCCTCGATTTTGGACCAAACTGCAGATGCGATCCCTGAGAACTAAAATGCATGCTTCATTACCAATAAAAAGGGAGGAAGGAGTAGATCCGCCCGTCAAGCAAGGCGATTACGTAAATCTTTACTTGAGACCGTGACGCTGACGTTGACGCTGCTACGTTTTTTAAAGCTGCTTACGAATCCTCAACAGAAGGAAAAGCTGATTTCCTTTGACCTGTTTCAAACTCCAAACTTAGCAAAATTAATATCTTACCTGGGAACCAAAGTCGGCAACAGTGCGTTGCAGCTCAGCTATACGCCGAGGAGTGTCCGCTAGCTTTGGCGCGGCTGACAGTTGGTCGGAGACCGCCGCTAACTCGCCAGCCGTCTGTTCCATTCTCTTTACCAATTCCATGTGTTCGCGTTCCAACCTTATTAGCCTCGCGTTCAAATCGGTGGCGTTGGCTCGGAGCTCTTTGGCCGCAGTGTGACAAACTTGGAGGGCATCGCCTACACTGTCGCTACTCGTTGAAACTGCATCAAGGACACAAGCAAAATGTAGAGTTTTAGTTGCAATCGTTTTAAATAGAGGAAGTACTTATAAAAAGATATAAGATATCGTTTTCTTATAACAAATTTATTTTATGGGTATCGTAAAAGACGACTACAATGATAGAAATTATTACGCGACATAAGTAGTTTCTTATATAGTATATAGTTTCTATGACTATATTATATATTTTATAGTCATCCTCTCATATTTCACACAGCTGTTGTCGTTTAGTGCCTACTTTTGTAAGGTGGGTCGAGAGATTTACTCTGAAATTACTGAGGTATAACATACATTCTTCTGCCTTATTAGCCCGTAAAAGTCCACGCTAGACATGGCCTTCTCCCGTCGCAGGTGAATTGACTTCAAAAAAGAGGAGGTACTCAATTCGACTGTATGTTTTTTATGTGTGTTACCTCTGAACTTTTTTCTTGGTGAACCGATTTTGATGATCTTTTTAGCTTCTCATGTAGTCCCATATAAACTTAATCAAGATCTGATCAGTAGTTTTTGAGTTATCCATGATAATATGCGTATTTAATTGACTTCGACTACATTGATGATGTTCGCATTTTATTTATATTGAAGTCGGTTGTTCAAAATTTTTGTACTTTATTGTTATTTATTTTTATACTTTATGCGTGGTACAATTGATCTTGTTTACACACCCATATACATTGGCCGAGTAGTGGTGGCGCAAGACAATGCACAACCCCATATCATCCAGTGGGTATAAGAGGCGACAGAGGGCAATGAAACTGAAAATGAGGGTTACAACATCTTTCTCTCTAGTATCTGATAGTAAGTAAAAATATAAAAAACTGCAGTCGCCAACCCTGCCAAGCATGGCAACTAAGGCAAATATTCTCCCTGTGAGGCAATATAATATGGTGGAGGCCTATGTTTAGCAGTGGGCCTATGTTTAAAGGCTGTAATGAATTATTGAAACTATGTGAACAAGGTTAATAAATGTACTCTCCTATGTGTTATATATCTGTTGTTGCAAACCAAAACAGACATTTTTAAACTACTTAAATATGTACATAAAATGTGTTTATTTTTATTAGTAGTAATAGTAAATAATAAATATGCATGTATATATATACTACATATAATATGTTTACAGTCTAGTGGCATAATATCCATTACCCCGCCCCGTCTCGTGGGTGTCATAAAAAGCGACAAAGGGAAACAAACCATATACGGTCAGCAGCGTATACCTAACAACTAAAAAAAATAAAAATTTACCAATGCCGACCCACCGTCTGCCAAGCATGGTTTACTATGACAAATATCCCCCTTATGAGACAATACAAGACGAGGCCTGGGTTCAGCAATGGACATAAGCTTGTAATGAATGAATAAATACTTCAAACATAAAGTTCTCAAGCCTCTACAATAAATAACTTATGTACTCGTTTTCGGATACCTATTATAATAACATTAAAGGATATTTATATATCTTTTTATATGTCGTGTATTATTGATCTCAGATGGTTAGCGCTCGCTGTAAATTTCACAGTTCGCGAGCAACCCGGGTTCGATCCCCGCCGGCACCAATGAAATTGTTGATCGCAATTTTAAGTGCAGATTTACAACATCGTAAGGAATCTTGCATGTCTGAGAAATAAAAAAAAATATTTTGAGTCATGTGAAGTTGGCCAACTTTTTCTTAGGCCAACGCCAACAATTGGGGCAGCGCTGCGGACACTTCCTTGTCCTAAAACTCTCTTAGAAATGAGAGGAGGCCTGTACCCCAGCTGTGGGATGTATATAGGCTGTAACTTTAATGAAGGAATAGTACGTTCATATAGGTACATATATATAATAAACGAGAAACTTTTTTTCTGTAGCAAAGGGTAACATTTAATTCGATTATGTTATTTAACCACATTAACAAAATCGAGAGCTTGAGCAGCTGACTGTTAAAATATACCCAATAAAAAAATTAAAAAAATTATTATAGACATAGTTGCAGTAATGGTTGCATATTATTATACAAAGATTGTATTGATTGATCAATAATTTGATTGTTCACACATGCCACACAGAAAGTTTAGTGAAAGAGGTTTTTTGTATGACACTGGCCAGTTACATTTTTTAAATTCTTTATTGTCTTCTTTATTTTTATAAATAAAATTGCAATAGTGTTAAAAAGTGTTTTAAATGAATCCTAGAGTGATAATGAACCACTATAATTTGTATATAAATTTTTTAAAACCGAATAGTGACATAAAAATTACTTTTAATCTATCGTTTTAAATTTTCGCGTGAAAACGCTAGCTGCCATACTGTTCAACTCGTGACGTCACTGTCCTAGAATTATGAAAATTTTGCAAAGGAATAAGATACTTTTGAATGTTTAATAATGAGTTATCATCTATATAATTGTTGTGTTGTGCCTGATTGCAAAAATACGAGCATAAGAACGCCGGGGAAGTTATGGATTAAAGTGCCAACTGATTTAAATATGAGAAATACTTGATTAAAACTGGCAAGAAGAGACCCGAAGGCATTGCCTACAAAATCTAAACTATACTTCTGTGAAGATCACTTTGATGTAAGTATGACTTATATTTAACTATCGATTAAACAAAACAAAACATCATGACATGATAGGTACCTATTGCAAGTCACACTTTGTAATAGATTAGGTTAATCGTTCCTCTGTCCCGCCCTTTGTGGTCCATTTTGATAGCCCTTGCAAGTGCAGTGCCGTGTTTTACTTAATTCTTGTTTTGTTCTATTATATGGGAAGAAAGACATGGTTTGTAATCAGACCAAATAAAAAAGTGCCTTTTTATTCCGTCTGATAGTTTGTACAAAAAAATATAACTAAAAGTTTTTCTCACCTACGCTTATACCTATAATATCTATAACATTAGTGCTAAAAGCGAAGTAATAAATTCGTTTTTACGAATCCGTCTTCCATGATGGCTTTTCAATAAAATTCGGAATAAAAGTCAACAATCGTAATGATAACTTGAAAATTTTCGAAATTAGCTAGTTAGTACACAGCACATAACCTATTTCTTTGACCTAGTGACGTCACGACGCTATCAAATATGGCGGACATCGTTTTGCAGATTTGAGGCACAGGTAAAATATATTCTTTAAATTGAAATATAAAATTTATAATGCATTTTTATAAATAGAAATCAATATTTCTCGTTTACTTTTTACAAAATCTATCATAAATATATATTCTTTGATTTTTTTACATGGTGTAAAATACCCTATTGTCCTTTAAAATTTTTCTAATTTTGTAGGAACTCAATGACTAATAATTTTCCGCATACCAGATGTTGGTATGTGACATTTGACAATGAGGTAAAGCTTTTGTTACATAATATCATTTACTTGAGCAGTTAGTAAAAGTTTATCAGTTTCTAGAGTATTATAGTAATACCCAGAACAATGCCTCAGTGAATTGCTCTTTAATTTTTTTGCACATCTTTAACTATTTTTTTTACTTTATGTGTGGTTTTGTATCTTTATTTTTAATCTAATTAATATAAAATATAACTAATTGTACAGAAAGAAATATTAACCTTTACATATTTCGAACAAATTAACTACCCCGTTATGTAATCTGTCAAATATTACACCTCTTTTTAGGTGGCGCCGCCCTGTTGGGAGACTAAGTGGTGGATGTCCTCATTGAAATATCGTGTTGCATTGAAAAATGGATTTGCGTCGGGAACATTTTTGCGCGACGATGATTTAAGATTTTAAATGTCGCCTAAAACCGGTCAAATCGGATCGATGCTGATGAAGAGTTGTATGAAAAAATTAAATAATAACAACAACATAACAACAACAGTTACCATAGTACTATTTTGAACTTTCGCAAAACTTTATGAGTAGCCTAAGTATTAAAGAAGAAAAAAAAAACAAACACTAAAAATCAGTAGCCAGGTCACAATATGGTTCAATATTTATTACGTTTACAAGTCCTAGTTAAATATTCCATATGAACAAAGTAGTCACTTAAAATTTATTTATTCAATTGCGTCACTTAAGGTCTATTGTGTTTAATTATTTATGAAATTGCAGGAAAACAAGTGCTAAAATTAAAAATATTGTACAACCGACTTCAATATAACTCAAAAACTACAGGTCAGACTTTGATCAAATTTATGTGGAACCACTTGAGAAGCAACAACTTTCAAAAAAAAATCATTGTAATCGGTTCACCTAGACAAGTTGACACACATAAAAAAACATACAGTACAATTGAGTACCTCATCCTTTTTGAAGTCGGTTAAAAATAGACTTAGTTAATAACAAAAAGAAAAGAAGATATATTTGTCTGTAACATTTAGTCGCACAAAAAATAATCTCTAGGAATATACAACCACATAATATTTGTTCCTTTATTTTCTTGTACTGACAATCGGTTCGCTTAGTTTACGTAAGTACTGTAAGATTTAACACACAATCAACACACAATCAAGAAAAGAGCCTACTCCTTTTTAAAAGGCCGGCAACGCATCTGCAATTCCCCTGGTGTTGCGGTTGTTCATGGGCGGCGGTAGTCACTTACCATCAGGTGAGCCGCATGCTCGTTTGCCCCCTCTCCTATAAAAAAAAAAAAAAAAAAAAAAAAAAACATGTACATACATATTATTTATCAGCCAATAGAAGTCCACTTCTGTACATAGGTCTCACGTTGCATGGATATTTACTTTAAGTATATAATACTATAAAAATATAAAATATAAAAACATTGGCGCAATAGGCACAAAATTATATGTACTTAGATATTATATCACTATTACTAAGCGCTCGCTGTGAATTTCGCAGTACGTGAACAGTTTTAGATGCTTATTTAACCTCATGATCAACAACATTATAGAAAACATCATAAGGAAACCTGTGGACGGCTCCGTGACGCAGTGACTTAGCAATGAGTTGCAACGCTAGGGGCCGCAGGGTAAAACATTTGTAAGACCTAAAAATAATTGTTCCGGGTCTGGATGTTTGCCCTTGTGCAATTTATGTTTGTAAACTGCCTCCACGATACAGGAGAAATCCTAGTGTGGGGGTAAGGTTTCTTTAAAATATAAAAAAATGAACCTTAGGAGAAAAGACTGGATGATATATCTTCTCACAAATATGAAGAGTATATACGAAGTTGCTTAGGACTAAATATAACGCAATGGATGAACTTAAATCAGAACGCCAACATAAAGAGCATGAAACTTATCTACACGGACATGAAGGTGATGATTGTTTGGTGACCATATTATAATATTGTAATTTCCTATAGCTCCCTGGGATGTGATCATGGAACACGAATAGGGAATAATTACGATCAACGATGGCGAAGTTAGCAGAAAACTTACTCTTCATACATTTCATTACAGCTTATCAAAAGTCCACTACTTCCCTCATTGTCTCAAAGGGATGTTGGCACAGTTACCACGTTTGGCAGGCGGGTAGACCACTGCAGTTTTTGTTTTAAATTATTATGAATTGTTATCAGGAAGATTCAGCCGCCCATCTCCTGTTTTGATTTTCCTTTGTCGCCTCTTACGACACCCACGGATAAATAGAATAGAATTTTTTTTATTCAATATAGATTATATGTAATTATTATTGAAAGTACTTTTTTTTTTACTTTACCATTGACAGATAAATTCTCTTATATGGACCAACAAATCAACCACCTTGACAAGTAACCATTTGTCATACTCACCCAAATTAACCGTACTTTTTGATTTGGAAATTTAATATTTTAAAAAATTTGGTCTAGGGAAGCAATTAAAAATTACTTTGAAATCTTTAAATAAATTTTGTTGCCTCGTGTTACCAAAATATTCATCAGAAAGACTATATTTTGATAATCTTTGTTTTTTTTTACGTATAAAATATTTCTTTCCCTAATATTCGACACAAATTTCGATATTTTTCAATATTCTACACAAAAGAGTTGTAATAAATAAAATAGACTGTATTATTTACAGCTTTCTTATATCTGTAGTTAATTAGTTAAGTTCATCTAGTTAACACCAGATATACCGCATACGCTAAAATTCGTTGCAAAATGAATAAACCAACCTCTATCCATCTCCATGCGAAGAGAGACGATCTGTCGCCTTACATCTACGAAAAGCCAGAGCACCGTAGCTGCAGACACTACGCACACACACAGTCCTAAGGCGGCAGCGAGTCGCATGAACGGGCGGGAGCGGCGACGGCGCGAAGTACGTCGCCCCCAGGGCTCACCCTCGTCGCTTGACGCGGATAGAAGCCTCCCACTTCTTGAACCAGCGCCGCCAACCAAAGCGTCCAACTCCCGTCTCTTTCGCATCTTTTTCCCGACCCGCAGCGGCACCGCCGCGTGCACTGCGCTCTCCATCCCGCACAAAAACGCTACCGTAAACGCATCCGCGAAACAATATAGCACTGTCCCTTGTCACTACCGTCTTTACTATTATGAGGAGCTTCGATGCGTGTGCACCACTCGACGAATGATCAACAAATGAGTGGTGGTGACTTTTCAATTTTCAAACTGCATACATAATGAGTTCAACACTGCTACTTCTAAAAGATTATGGGTTAAAGATACTTTATCAAGGCGTTGTGAAGTGTGAGCCATAAATAATATTACTACTATGCAGTTTATAATATAGTAAACAACTTCGATTGATAATCGCATTTGCAAACATAATATTGTGTACTTTTTACAAATATTAATTTAAACGATCGCGCGTAAGTTTCGATGTCGTAGAGATTAATTCTACAACAGTAACAGGAAAAAAACTTCTTTCCATTAAAAACTAGAACTGATGGATTTAAGGTGAGCAACTTAGGCAAGACGTCCGCTGCTCGCTGCTTTACACGTAATAAGTATCACTTAAAGTGGTTGGTTACTCCTATAGCTATATAAGCAGTATAAGGCCATTTACTTGTTGACATTGACACTTCGTACACGTATTACTGGTTCAGTAACCTTGATCTTGAAACGTCCAGACAGCACGAAATGTTCAACTTTTATTAAAAGCATAATGTATACAAGTGATATGCAAATGTATACAAAATAAGATTAAGTATATCTTTTTAAATAAGAATAACCGACTACAACACATACGAAATCTTACATTTTGACGTATTTTTTATATTCATATTCATTGTATATACCTACGCTATAATATATTAATAAGGTATCTGCGGCGCAGGATCTGTGCCCTAACCCTAACACGTTAGATCATGATGTGTTAATTAGGGAACAATTGACGCGCAACATGTTGTGCATCGTGAAGAATGAGTTCACAGTTCGTTTAGTAACATTATCTGTCGATTATCTTCACGCACAATCCCTGACGGGGTAGCCAGAGAGAACAGATCGCCAAGTGTCACGATCCTTACATACCTCTTTCGCTTCTTTCAGATTCATTATCTTCTTCATACATGCACGTCTAGGTATCCGAGTACTCTTGACCCTACCCTCTTCGAGCAATTTGCTCACATGGTCTTCGAAAGTTAGTCTCGGTCTACCTCGACACCTTTTAATATTAACTTTCGCGCTATATATTTTCTTCACCATTCGGTCTTCACTCATTCGCTCAACGTTCCCAAACCACCGAAGCACGCCCTTATCAATTTTTGTGATAAGGTCATCTTTCAAACCTGCCATATTGCGAATCTCTTCGTTTCGCTTTCGGTCGGCCATGGTAACGCCGCACATTTTACGAAGAGATCGCATCTCCACTGCATTCAACTTACTTTTATGCTTCTTCTGGCATACCCAGGTTTCGCTACCATATAACAAAGTCGGTACCATCACTGCGTTATGTATTGCAAGGCGTGCACTCTTCACTACGCCTTGCCTTTTGACTAACGCAGTCAGGGCACCATTGACTTTGTTCCCGGCAGCGACACGCCTGTCCACATCTAAATCACATCTTCCATCCCGGCTAAAAGCACTCCCCAAGTATACAATTTCATTTACTTGTTCTAGACATTCCTGATTTACCCATATTTCACACTTAGTTCTCTCTTCGTCCCTTTCAAATACCAGAACATTATCTGTCCATAGTCCATATATGTTATATCATTTGTCGACAACAAGTTGCCTAAAACGTGGATGGGTTGGAAATTACAAAGAAAAGGAAATGTCCGTTTGGCAGATGGCTCTTAGTATCGGTAGTATGGGTAACTTTAAAATTCTATAATCAGAGCGTTAAAGATTAAATTAAAAATGAAATTTAAAATAGCAAGTAAATTATATTTTATTGTTTTAACCAACGCTTCCCTTTCCCTTTATCTCTCCCTCTCTCTCTTTCAACAAACTCACGACTTTCGGCAAGTTCACAAATTGTCTCGGACTTCTTCGCCAATGGTGAAACTAAAAATTAAATTGAATCTAAACGCTACTCATTCGACTAATATCAACCTGTTCCTTAATAGCGGTCCCTCTGCCTTTTGTTTGTATGGTGCCGCCTACAATTACAAAGCTACAAATTGAAATCAAGTCTTATCGATTAAGAGTCTAAATCGTATAACAACCTGCGACTTTAGAGGATGAAGAATTACAAGTAGGGTATGAGTTTTCATACCCTACTTGTAATCGTGATTTCACCTAAAACTAACGTTTTTAGTCAGATGGTTCTATCGTCTTTGACAAAAAGGTGCTAAAGGTGGCGGTTTTTTAATTTTAAATTCTGATATAAACGTTAATTTATCTAGCAATTGATATGGAACATGTGGAAAGGAGAAAAACAATAAGTTGGTCTGATATAAACGTTAGTTTATTTAACAATTGATGTAGAACATGTGGAAAGGGGACAAACAACAAGTTGAGTCTGAAATAAACATTACTTCATTGAACAAGTGATGTGGAACATGTGCAAAGGAGACAAACAACAAGTTGGGTCTGATATAAACGTTAGTTTATTTAACAATTGATGTAGAACATGTGGAAAGGGGACAAACAACAAGTTGGGTCTGAAATAAACATTACTTTATTGAACAAGTGATGTGGAACATGTGCAAAGGAGACAAAGAACAAGTTGCGTCTGATATAAATGTTAGTTTACTTAACAAATGATGTGAAACATGTGAAAAGTAGACAAACAAGTTGAGTCTAATATAAACGTTAGTTTATTGAACAATTGATGTGAAATATGTGGAAAGACAAACAACAAGTTGAGTCTGATATAAACGTTATTTTATTTAACAACTGATGTGGAACATGTGAAAAGGACACAAACAACAAATTGCGTCTGATATAAACGTTAGTTTATTGAACAAGTGATGTGGAACATGTTGAAAGGAGACAAACAACTAGTTGCGTCTGATATAAACGTTAGATTATTTAAAAATTGATGTGGAACATGTGGAAAGGAGACAAACAACAAGTTGCATCATGTGTTGCGCGTCATCGTTGCCTAAAGAATACATGGCTTTAATTATATTGTAAATGTGCCCAAAAAGAAAAAGGTTTTCACAGCAATTCACTGGCCCAAGAAAACTTGTGCCCAATAATAACGCTGGGATTTGTATATTGAATACGGTGTAAGTTATGAAGTGCATTGTCAACAGTACAAACACGGGGACAAAAAAGGCTAAATTTATCTAGTCTTTTTTTATAGGATAGAGTGACAAACGAGCACACAGTCCACCTGATGGTAAGAGGTTGCTGTGACCCATAGACATCCACATCTATCCTCAATAAAGAATCATAATGCAGATGCGTTGTCACCCGTGAGGACTAAGATGGAATGCCCTTTTCCAGTAAAAAGGGTCTCCGGTTCTCTACACTCACCATACGAAACACAACAGTGTTTGTCGCTATTTGTCACAGCACAAGCTGCTATTTGTCGCTGGTATTCTGTGACAGCGTGGTACTTCCCCGGTCGAGCCGACCCATTCGTGCTACAACTGTACTACTAATATAGCTGCAGCATGGCTCTAACACAAAAAAGAAAAAAAGAAAATTTATCTACATAAAAGTTCACGTAAAAAAACATTTCAACAATAGGTTAAATTAGTTATTGCTGCATGAATGTGAATTAAGGGACAATTAAAGGGTATTCATGATAAAGAAAATCTCTCAAAGCTTTTTAGAGCGGAAAAAATGTTAGTCCTACGTCGCGCGGCAAGAGTAAAGAAATTAGACCCACATTGAATGCATCTCAATTGTAATCTGGGTTAGCACTTACATACTCCAGCTCTGTTCACTATTTCAAAACAAGTTCTAGACAAGACTTTCTCTAACTTCTTTAATTTATTTTTAAAAAAATGTGCCTAATATTCGCGTAAATATCTATATTCAGCATAGAAAGGAGATAATTTTGAGTCGAATCGTTTTGACAATCTCAAGTGTTCATCACAGTGATTAGATCCAGGTGCCCAAGCAATTTTTTCCCGTAACGAAAGATTAGCCTGAAGAAGCTTATGGTGACAATGTGGTGGTCTACAATGGGTGCTTCTTGCCATTTGATGCCACAGTTACTGCTGTAAATTATTGTCAAGATTTGAATATGATGGTGGAGAAGCTGCCATCATGCCCAGATCAGAATAGAATAATTTTTATTGAATATTGATTACAAGTAATTCTTATTGAAAGTAATTTTTTTATTTTACCACTGGTTCGAAAAAATCCTCTGTCCTAGGAAGAACCAGCAAGAAACCCAGCGGTACCTTTTTTTAAATAAATTTTACAATATAAATTATTACAAACTATTTACAAAATTTATTTTAGAAACAGCTTAGAAGCGACCACCTCATTCTCAGAGGTTATTATCGACCATATATTCATTTATATTATAATAACCCTTTTTATATAGTTTTTGTTTAATTAAAAATATTTAAACTTGGTAATAGAGATACCTTGTATATTTTATGGGACTTTGTTGTAATAGCGTATACATTGCCCCAAGAATGAATTACTGACTCTGTGGAGTCGAGAGACTGGTATCACTAGCTTGTGTTTGTTCCTAGTGTTTACAGAGTGTATATCACTTTTTTTACAAAACTTACTTTGCTTTTGTGAACATAAATTAAATTTTCGTAAATATACGGAGACGCCAAAGTTAATATTTTATTTCGATTGGTGAACTTCTCTTTGTCATTCCTTCTTCATGATAACGCGCGGCCACATAGTGCATAACAGACGTTAGCAAAATTAGCAGAGACAAAGCGTGACCGTGCAGAAGCGGTGTAAGAATATCCACTACCCCGTATCATCCCGTGGGTGTCGTAAGAGGCAACAGAGGAAATCAAATGATAACAAAGCAGCAGCGTCTTTCTAATAACGACTAAAAATAAAAAAACTGCGGTTGCCAACTCGTTGCCGAGCGTAGCAACTATGGCAAATATCCCTCCTATGAGGTAATCTATGGGGGAGACCTATGC